CTCTCTCTCTTTCTTTTTTAGTTTCTGTTTTCTATTTCTGTTTGGACAAAATATCTTAACTGTTAAGTTGTGGGAAAGACGACTCGAGACCAGTTAATCTTTAGTTGCTTTTAATTTTTCTTCTCGGTAACTGAACAACAACAGAGTCGCGGCAGCCTCTTTTATAGCGGCTGTTCGTGGCTCTCGGCCAATGACGGCTCTTCAATTTTCCCACCATAGGCCGAACCGATCAGAATGGAACATTCAAACATTCAAATATATAACACCCCTCCCTATGTGGTACAGTCCCACCAATCAGGCCACCCCTATGTTACGTAGTCACGTAAATAGGTGGGACTTTTATGGTTCCTACTGGACCTGGGCAATTCAGTTGTGGTGTTGTCTTTGGACTGCTCGGACGGGTTCGCTGTTTCTCCCATCCTCTTCTGTGGAACCTCCTGGAAGGTGGAGTCAGCCATGCCACTCCCGCCTGGCCTTTCCGGGCTGGTTGAGTCAGCTTGGCTGCTCCTGCCAGGAGTGGCTTCGTGATGGTATTCCGATGCCTGCTCCAGTCCTCCGAAGTTTTCTTCTTCTCCAGGTACATGATTTTGATTTCCCCTCCGGGCTAATGGTACTGTTAGTTGTTGTGTTGTTGTTAGGGTTTGTTTTGTTATTTCTCATGTTTGTGGAGGGTCTCCCCCTCTCCTCTCATTTATATCTGAGGGGTCTCCCCCCTCTCTGGTTTGGTTATTATTTTGGTTTAAAGTTTTATTTGGTTCTTGTGTTTGTGTGTGCTCTTCCCCTTCTTCCCTTTGGTTGTTGGTGTTTCTTAATATGGCCCTTGATCTGAGTTGGTCTATATGTCTCCTCCAGCTCTTTCCGTTGTCTGTCTCTACCCTGTATGACCATGGTCCTGTTACTTGGATTATTTTAGCTGGTATCCATAATGGCTCCCCCGTTAGGTTTTTTGCATAGACCAGGTCCCCTGTTTTAAATGTACGGCACTTACTGGAGGAGTCTGTTAGTTTTTCTGTGCTATATGTGGGGTGTAGTCTATCTAAACTAGATCTTAGTTTTCTTCCCATCAATAGTTCTGCTTGGCTTTTGTTAGTCGTGGCATTTGGCGTGATGTGCTGTATCGTTAGCAATTTATATATTTTTTCCTGGATATCTCCAGCTTCTAGCCTGTGTAATGTTTCTTTGGTGAAACAGACCATGTGTTCCACCCGTCCGTTTGTAGCCAGCCCACCCGGCACTGTTAAAGCATGTCTTATACCTAGTTCGGCTAGGAAACTCTCAAATGTTAGTGCAGTGAATTGTGGTCCATTGTCAGATACAATTAAATCCGGCAATCTATGCATTGCAAAAAGCTTTCTTAGTTGTCTAATAACAGCTTCTGTTGTGGTTGAATGCATGACGCTGACCTCTAGCCAATTTGAGTAAGCGTCTACTACTATTAAGAATGTATGCCCTTTTGTTGGTCCAGCAAAATCAATGTGTATTCTAGACCATGGGCCCCTAGGTTTTTCCCAATCAAGTACAGGTGCAGAAGGGGGTGCAGGTCTAGATTCCTGGCACTGTTTGCATGTTGCTACCCATTTTCCTATATCCAAATCCATCCCTGGCCACCATACATAACTCCTAGCCAGGGATTTCATTCGGACAATCCCTGGGTGACCTTCATGTAATAGTTTAAGTATTTGTTCCCTCAATCTGTCTGGTATGATCACTCTATCCCCGCACAGTACACATCTTTTTTAAATTGACAGCTCAGTTTGTCTGTGCCGAAATGGTTTAATGGTCTCATCACTTTTGGTCTCTGGCCACCCTTTACCTACCCAATTTAAAATCCATGCCAGGATTCTGTCTCTCGCGGTTTCCTTCGCAATGTCTGTTGCTGTTATGGGTAGGTTTGCCAGCGTCTCGATGTGCTGTGTTGATGCGGTTGGTGCAGGATCATCCTCTAACTCAGTTAGGGGAGAACGGCTCAGGGCGTCAGCGTGTGTTATGTTCTTTCCTGACCGGTAGATTAATTCGTAGTTGTATGCAGCAAGGAATTCAGACCACCTCGTCATTCACGGTGACAATATGTTGGGTGTGGGTTTGTTTCCTGCAAGTATTCCTGAAAGAGGTTTATGATCGGTGACCAGTGAAAATCTCCTTCCATAGATGTACTCATGGAACTTTTTAACTCCTGTTATTATGGCCAGCGCTTCTCTATCCAATTGGCTGTAGTTCCGCTCCACTTTTGATAGAGTTTTTGAATGGAATGCGATCGGTGCTTCTCTTCCATCGGGTAATATATGGCTGAGTATGGCCCCGACGCCAAAGGGTGATGCATCGCAGGTTAATGTTAGTGGCAGAATCTCGTTATATTGGATTAGTACACAGTCTGATGTAATTAAGTCTTTGATTCCCTGGAATGCGGTTTCTTCTCGTCACCCCCAGGTCCAGGTAGCTTTCTTATCCAGGAACCTGTGTAGCGGTTCTGCTATCATTGCCTTCTGTGGCAAAAATACACTGTAAAAATTAATAAGTCCCAAGAAGGCCTGTAAATCTGTTTTATTTTCGGGTCTGGGAGCTCCCTTGATTGCTCTGATTTTCTTTTCAGTGGGGTGGATCCCTTCTTTATCTATAAGGTATGCCAGGAATTCAACCTTATCAGTGGATAATTGGCATTTCTCTCTTTTAATTTTAAGTCCTGCCTCTTTAAATTTTTGTAAGACCTCCCTCAAATGGTCTTCAAGTTGTTTTTCATCCTTGGCTGATACCAGCATGTCATCAAAATATGGCACTACCCCTTTAATTCCTTGCAGTAGGCGCTCCATTAGACTCTGAAACACCCCTGGGGCCATGCTAATTCCGAATTGTAGTCTTTTGCATTTGAATGCCCCTCTATGAGTCACTATTGTTTATGCTTCCGCGGTTTCTGAGTCAACTGGCAACTGTTGATAAGCTTGTGCGAGGTCTAATTTCGCGAAAATTCTACCTCCCCCAAAGAGTGTAACAGGTGCTGTACCACCAGAACTGGGTATGCGCTTTGTTGTAGCGCATGGTTGAGGGTGGCCTTGTAGTCTCTGCAGATGCGTACGGACCCACCTGGTTTGATAGGAGTCACAATTGGGTTTCCCACCTTGTGTGGTCTATTGGTTCTAATACCCCTTGTGTGATAAGTTTATCTAATTGTTAATCAATTTTTGGTTTTAATGCAAAAGGGACTCGTCTCACCTTTAACCTTATTGGGGCTATCTTAGGATCCAAATTAAATGAGATAGGGGACCCTCGGTACGTGCCCAGTTCTCCATTGAAGATGTCCTGGAATTCTCTCATCAGGTTCTCTTCCCAGTCTGTCTCAGCGATGTTGTTTATTCTGGTCACTCCAATTCCTAATGGTTCGAACCATTCGAGTCTCAGTAAGCTGGGGCGATCCTGGTCGACTATGGTCAATGGAAGGACTTTCGTGTATTTTTTAAATTTGATCTGGAAGTGTCTGGTTCCAACTATGGGAATTCTGTTTCCCTGGTAGTCTTTAAGTGTGAGTTTTTGTTTTTCTAGTTCCTTTCTTTTCATGTTGGGTATCAGGCTTTTGAGAGTGTTCCATGATACCATTGATAGATACGAACCGGAATCCACCTCCATCTCACATGGTTGGTCTTCTATGGTGACTTGTACCAGTACCTTCTTCACATTGACTGCGCTCAAGTGTCCAATAGTTATTGTCTGGTGTGTTTCTTCTTTTCTATTGGCTTCTTTCCACCGCTTGTTTCTACTGTCTTGGCTCCAACGGCTCCTTTTCTGTCTTTCTCTCGTTCTGGTGTGGGGGGGTATTTCCTCTGCGTCTAGGACTATAGTTATTTCTGTTTCGGCATGCCCTAACTATGTGTCCCCGCCATTCACAATGCCTGCAAATAGCATCAAAGAAACAAGATTCGGAACGTGGGTGATCCCCTCCACACCCGACACAACGAAACTCCGATTTTCTTGCCCTGCGCTCCCTTCTGTCTTTCTCCGACCGAAGTTCATTTACTTACTTCTTCCTCATCAGTTTCAGATAGGGATTCAAGGTCCTCATGGTATGTTGTGGTGGTGGTTTTTTGAGTCTCCTCTTGCTTCTTGTTTTGAGCTTGGTTAGTGTCTTTCGGGGTTTCCTGTGTTACTTTATTCATCTGTCGCATGATGGCTGCTGATCTTTGTGCTGCTTCTGCTGCAGTGGCTTCTTCTATTGCCTCAGTCAATGTTATTTTGGGTCTGGTCAGTAGTCGGCTCTGTAGTGTAAGGTCTCTTAATCCAAGAACCACGGGGTCCCTCATAGCCTCATCCATGTTTAGGAATTCGCACACTCCTCCAATGTCTCTTAGGGCTGTGACAAAATCTCCGATGCTTTTGTCTTCCTTTTGGTCGCGCTTGTAAAATTTGTGTCGCTTGATAAGGCATGAGACAGTTGGTGTATAATGGGCTCGTAGTAACTTGTCTAAATCCGGCCACGCCATTTTCTTTACATCATGGGGTGACACTAGTGCCTTTGCCATTTTGAAGACTGTGGGTCCACAGTGAGTGAGGAAAACGGCTCTCTTCCTATTGTCGGAGATTCCTTGGAGCTTGTTCCCTTCTAGGAACATAAGGAATTGGTCGATGTACGATTCCCAGTCTTCCATTGCTGGGTTGAACGGTGCGGATGGCGAGTTGTTGCCAGCCATCTCATCTAGCTCGGTTCTCGTTGCCACGTGCTCAACTGTTCTCCTTGTCTCAGAATCCCATCCTCATCGACAGTGTTAATTTGTGGGAAAGATGACTCGAGACCACTTAATCTTTAGTTGCTTTTAATTTTTCTTCTCGGTAACTGAACAACAACGGAGTCGCAGCAGCCTCTTTTATAGCGGCGGCTTGCGGCTCGTGGCCAATGACAGCTATTCAATTTTCACGCCGTCGGCTGAACCAATCAGAACAGGACATTCAAACATTCAAATATATAACATTAACTTTTTTTATTCGCTTTTCCTTCCTGTTTATTCACAGCTGGGCTTCTTGACTCTTGTCCTCTTCCAAATCTTGCCTCAGTCTGAGGGAAACAGTTGGAAGATATTTTCCCTCAGGCCAAACCAGAGAGAAAGAATTCAGTGCCTCCCTCTCTGTCTGATTTGTCCAACTGCTGCCTCCTCATTTTCCTTGCCTCTTTCTCTGCCTACAGTTGAGCTATTCAACTCACTGACTCTTTAGTTTTCTTCCTAGGCTTTGGAAATTATTTGAGTCTGTTTATCATGGGGCCTGAGGCTGTAGAGCTCCCAGGCACCTGTCTTGATCCAACTCCCCCATTTGATTGGCAGCTGCTCAGGGAAAGGGCTCAGAAGGTGGTGGGGAGAAGCACAGGGATTTAGAATTTAGAATTTGTTCTGGCAATCTGCTCTTTCTTGAATGAGATAGAAATGCGGAAAATAAATGGCTGTCCTTTTTTTATCCCTTCTGCTTTTTAAATAGCTGCTGGGTGGCTTTCCTACTGATGAACATGATGTTTCAACTGAGACACAGCTCTTTATATCTACTTTCATGGTGAGAACTGAATGTATTTATTCATAGTACCAGGGCTGTGTTCACATATATACACAGAGCTTCAAAGGACTGCTTTTGTTTAGCTGTTATTGTGATAGATTTTATATTATTTCTTTAGCTCTCCTGAGGCATTAGGAATAATAATAATAAGAAGAATAAGAATCACTATGAGAGCAAGGGTGAGGTGCATGCCTCAAACCATGAAATTCCACCTGTAAGTTTCCTCAAAAGAGACCCATATAGCACTGAGAGGGAGGCGGAGCCTTTTGTCCTAGGTCTCAGCATACGGCCATTGCAAGAACAAAGGCAGTCATTAATATTATACAGTACACTGCCTATCTTTTAAGTGACACCATTGGCACAGTGTGGTAGCAAGCAGATCCGCTTTCTGCTGCTTGCATAGGATTATTATTGTCATGAGCATAGGGTTCCTGAGAATGTGATATGCCTCAATGTCTTCTGTCTGAAAGAATGAATGGACTTGTTGTGAGGAGCCTGGAGAGCAGATCTTGGAGAAGGATGAAACAAGTTCCTTTTATTGCCTGTCCAGGGACAACAGAGAAGGAGGACATCTTCCAAATAGATCTTCCAGAACTCAGCCTTTTTACTTAGCAATTAGACCATGGTCACACAATAAACTTCATACTAATCAGTGTCATTACTTCTAAGTTGTTTTCTATACAGTTTCCTCTATCTGTGGAGAATGATTCCATGGATAGATGTTGCCTGTTGTTTATCTTCTACAAACAGAGGATTGGTCTGTAGAAATGGACAGCAATGGAGAAATGAAATGGACTTGATTTCCAAGTATATGCTTTCAGTGCTCCAAAAGATTTTAATTCTGACTGAGTACAGCAAATTGGATATAAAAACCAAACCCACCACCAAATTTGTGAGGCTACATTGATTTATATATATTTCACTTTCAATGAAATTGCTGAACTATTTGCTTTATGAGCTTGATTCTACGATTGTCCTAAGAGGTAAATTAAAAACTGCATGATAATGTCTTGATTTCAAAAACTGTATGTTATTATGTCCAAGCCATTTTAATGAAACCAGTTGTAATTTATGACTGTGGTGGAGAGAAGCATAGTGAGATTGAACAGAAGCACGATGTGAATTGAAAGTTATTCTGATTCCTGCTGAACCAATCAGAACATTGTTCTGTATAATCTGTATAACTACACCGCTGGATGTCTGATTGTAATTTTCTATTTTTGCTTCTATTTAGCCCTATTTGCAGAGTATAATCCTCATATTTTTACTGCGTTATCTGGTGATGAAATATGACCAGACAATTATGAGAAGAGATCCCATTTTTAGGTTTGTATATATTGTAATATGCATACAGTGTGTTTTGTATGTGTATGTTAGTTGGATGAAAACAATTATATTAATTATAACATTGATTAATTGGTTGATTAATGATTGATTGATTGCATGCCATAAAGTTGGAATCAACTCTTAGTGACCACATAGATTTTCCCTATGACAGCCTTTCCTAACCATGTCCTTTATGGTTGAGCCAATCCACTAGTTTTATAATCTATTTCTATTTTCTTATAACAACTGTCTCTCCCAGGTCCTTGAGAAGGATTCAATAGATGAATAAAAATGCCAAATCCAAAGTAAATATATGGCTGATTGTGCAATCAATCATAACAATTTAGACCATACTTTAGGTTATGCATGGACCATCCATTGCCTCCTCCAACAAGTCCTATTTGTTATGGTTGAACCCACAGTGGTTAAACTACCACCAGCATAGCTCCTGAGGTCATTGAAGCACACAACCCACTTAACATGGCAAAAGATGCACTGCAAAAGTACAGTATTGGCTATTGTATTCAGAAGAATTAAAATAATAAGCATTGACTAATAGTAATTAATAATTAGAAAAAATACTAATATTTTGTATATATGTTTTATGCAATTTATGTTCCCTCCTAGAAACAATCCCCAGATTTGATGACACAATACAGCAGGATTTTGAAGGGGGGACCTAAGTGATACCTCTCATTCCTACTATGAATAAAATAATATTTTTACATATATTTTTATTAAAATTTTTAAAGAAGTTAAAAAGAAATACAAAGTAATATAAAGCAAGGAAGAAAAAAAGAAAATGAAAGAAAGCAAAAAGTGCAAGAAAAAAACTTCAAAAAAGTAGAAAGGAAAGGAAAAAAGATGAAATGGCTTCCAATATTCTTTACAGTAGTTATAAGTAGAAATTTTATTTTCTCTTTCTAAAGTTACATCATAGTCCTCTTTGTCAGAAGCTTTTTTTTTTCATTTTTATTTAAAAAGTCCAGAAGAGGCTTCCACTCACCAACACATGAGATAATATATATTTTTCTAATCAAAGAAGTCAATTTATCTATTTCAGTAAAGTATTATTAACTTTCCTAGTTATTTCTCCATAGTAGGTAGTGTATGTAATGTAATAATTTTGCTGTAGTCATTGTATATTATAATGATCTTCCATGACTTTTTTTCTAACATTAATCTTTAAAATCATCTATATCAAAGTATGTATTTTGAATCTATTTTTGAAGCTTTTTTTTACACATCCACCATGCATGATAAAATATCCATTTATGTTTTCTCACATTTCCAACACACATTTTGGCTGTCTTTATACATTCTAGATCATTTCTCTAGCACCACATACCACATGTTTATTTTATAGAAATGCTCCTTTACACAATGTAAATTTCAACATTTTATTAAAGAAAAGAGCAACACCAATAGCACTTAGACTCATACACCACTTCACAGTGCTTTACAGCCCCCACTAAGCAGTTTACAGAGTCAGCATATTGCCTCCAACAATCTGGGTCCTCATTTTACCAATCTAGGAAGGATAGAAGATGAAGCCAACCTTGACCTGGAAAGAATCAAACTGCTGAATTGCTGGCAGTCAGTGGTCAGCAGAATTAGCCTGGAATACTGCATTCTAACCACCGCACCACCACCATTTCAATCTGAACCATTGAAGCAAAGTAGAAAAACATTCCATCTGTTATATGTGAATGATCCGAAGCTATGTGGGAAACCAGGAAAAGAAACTCAGTTTCCTTCAATTGTGAAGATATTTAGTGAGAATAACAGAGTGGAATTTGGATTTGATAAATGTGTCATGTGCCTCATAATGAAAAAAAGTGCAAACAAAATTTACTAATAGATCCATCGTGGTTGGTGGATCACCTTCTATGGCAATAAATGCCAACTTGTTGCCACTATGAAGTGGTCATTTGGATGTTGGCTGCCCATTTATGGTAGCTCAATGATTAAGAATGCAAAAAGGTCAACAAAATGTGATTCTGACTGTGGGGAGAGGTGGGTGGAAGGGCAGTTACAATCTGGAAAGAAGCAGGTGACGAAAAGCCCTCTACTTCTTGCAGACACGGACGTTCTATGCCAGAAATCACTTCATGTGTGGAATTTGGATATGATAAATGTGTCATGTGCCTCATAATGAAAAAAATGCAAACAAAATGAAGGGATACAATTTACTAATAGATCCATCGTGGCTGGTAGATCACCTTCTATGGAAATAAATCATTGGTGGTATTCAGCCGGTATGGGTGGAAGGCCAGGGACAACCTGGGAAGAAGAAGGTGACAAAAAGCCCTCTACTTCTTGTAGACACAGATGTTCTGTGCCAGAAATCACTTAATGTTTCCATTTTTTTTCCCTTTCTAAGGTCTTCCCCATAGTCATTTTGCTGAGGGATTTTCCCAATCATTTCTTATTTAATCTCAACATGGTTCGGAAGCGCTGAACATTCTGCTACCTTACGAGCTGTGATACATTATTCATTAGTCAGTTGAGCATATGAAAGCCTTCCTAATTGAAATTACTATTTATTCTTTGATATCAAATCACTTGAGACCTGTTGTTATATCTTTGATCTCTAGGATTTCTCCACAAAGAAAAAGAACCCATCAGAATCCTGAAGAGCTCAGCCAAGCAGATGACAGAGACGTCCTAGATGAAAGGACAAGAGTTCAGAGTGCACTGGCTTCTGTCAATGAAGGAGAGGTATAGCATAACTATTGGGCTTTTCTTATTTTGAAAAATATGTATAACTTATTCCAAGAATATATTTGATTTGCTTATGAAATATAGCTAAATGCACAATCCTGCATATCATCCTACCTAACACCTTTACACTGCAAATAAATATTTACCTGGACTGCCTCAAGGATAGTGAGGGACTATTGAAGTATAAAAAAACACCAGAGTTCAAAAACACCTGGATATTCTGTGTATAAAGTAAACAAAGTGTTAGGCGCAGACAGGATTAGACACAGAGAAGGGTATGGACATAAGCTGAATCTCCCCAAAAGAGATGCTTTGGATGATGCTTTTGACTTGTGCTGGTGTTTGATGATGAAAGATTCAAATTATTAAAATGGAGAGGTATTGGTGGAGGCCAAAAAACTTTTTTTTTAACATAATTAATGCATAGCACAATCCTCCAGGAACCCAGCATCAAGAAGCAACAAGCAGCTATTTAATGAAATCAAATTCCATAAGAGGAGCAACACGCATGAAGAGCATTTGAAAGAGATTGCAAAGTAGATTGCACACCACAATGCCCAAAACCATTTAATAAAAATTAAGAAATTTATGGAAGGTTTGAAACAAGTGGGATCTAGGTATTGTCTATAAACCACCATGGCTGAGGCACAGACACAGTTATTGTTCTATTGTCCAAACCAGCCTAAGGAATTATTGTTTAGATAACAGTTCACATAGATAGATAATAGTGTGGCAAGCAGACAATGGGAAAGATCTGTCTGAACACGCTGGGAATCTGTTTCCAGAAATAAGTTGAACGACAATGGCATACTCTTGATAAGAAGTAGCCAATTTTACTTGTTTCTGTGATTCACCAAAAGAGATTAGCTCATACTTAGATCAACTAAGAGTACAAAATGGCCATGTGTATGTATTGTAAGCAATGTCTTCTCTCTGCTTAGAAACCAGTTCTCATTGTCCATGACTTGCGCAAGGAATACAAACACGGCAACGCTTGCTCCTCTCCTTGTTTCAAGAGGAAGGAAGAAAAAAAAGTGGCTACCAGAAACGTCTCCTTTTGTGTTAAAAAAGGTTTGATTGGAATGAATTATATTCTTAACTCAGTCTCTATTGTAAATCTACTCTAGTCATTGCTCAGCAAAAATTAAGTAAGAGAAGCATTGTGGGGTTTGAAACACTAAGGCCAAATTAGGGATAATAATGCTCAGAATATCACCAAGCAAATGATCTGTAAAGGTAGATTAAATGTGACATATTTCCCATCAAATTCTATTATTGAACCGCAGAATTCAGTTGAGCTGTTAGCAGAGTAAGGTGAAACAATAAACCTTTTCTCAGTCTCCACTTTGGAGAGATGATTGAGACCAGGGTATGTGAATAAAATACACAGCATACAGTAAGGCTGAACTTTGGTTTCCCCTTGCTTCAGTGTATGAGGATAGGTAATGCCTATCCATACCATGAAAACATAAAATTCACTGGAAAGAAGAAAGAATTTTACTTATTCTTTAATGCAAGCTTAACAAAAAGAATATAGTTAGTCCTTGACTTACAACCACAATTCAGCCCAAACTTTGTGTTACCAAGCAGGACAGTTAAATACGTTTTGCCCCAATTTATGACCTTTCTTGCCACAGTTGGTAAGTGGATCACTGCAGTTGTTAAGTTAGTATCATGGTTGTGAGGTGAATTTGGCTTCCCCTTTGATTTCCGTTGTTGCAAAAGGTGATCACATGACCCTGGGGAACAATAATCGTCATAAATGTGATTCCATTGCCAAACATTCAAATTCTGATCACATGACCATGGGGATGCTGCAACAGTCGTAAGTGTGAAAAATGGGCATGTCATTTTTTTTCAGTGCCATTATAACTTTGAACAGTCACTAAATGAATGGTTGTAAGTCGAGGCCACCTGTAATAGGTAGTCCAAAAAGGAAAACAAGAAAATAATGCACTTTATAGCAAGTTTTGATAGCATACACCAATTTCTCATTTCTAAATCTTAGGTTTCAATCCAATCCCACC